GCTCTTCAAACTTGGAACATTTAAGACTTGTGGACTTCAACTCCCAGAATTCTTGAGCTAACATGACTGGAGGAGGAATTCTGGGAATTGAAGTCCACAAGTCTTTAAAGCTGTCAAGTTTGAAGAGTCCTGTGCTAGATGGTAGTGGGTTCATCCTACCTTTGTTCAGACCTTGCTGCAGAGAATAATAGGTTACCAAATCTGCATTTCTAAAAGCTGGCCTCAGCTTAATATCCGCTTGGGGTAGGGAAAGGGAGCTCTGAGTTTCTGTCCCCCTTAAGATTTTATGTCCCTTTTAGGGGAAATATTTTATCCTGCTTTTTAAAATATTTATCAAAACATTTCATTCTTCTAGGAAGCTTCCCATAATGGCAACACCTTAACTATTCTTCCCCAGGCTGGAAACTTAAGCAGGGTCAGCCATGCTTAGTGCCAGTGGTGGGATTCAAATTTTTTTACTACTGGTTCTGTGGGAGTGGCTTGGTGGACATGGCAGGGGAAGATACTGTCAAATCCCCATTCCCTCCCCACTCCTGGGAGAAGGTTACTGCAAAATCCCCATTTCCCTCCCCATCCCACTAACCTGCTTTCCAGCTCCATTCTCCTGTTCGGGGCAACAAAAGGAGACCCAGCCGATCAGCTGGGACTCAGGAGGCAGAGAATAGATGGGAGCGGGGCCAGTCAGAGCTGGTATTTGCCAGTTTCTCTGACCTACTCGAAATTTCCGCTACTGGTTCTCCAGAACTGATCAGAACCTGCTGAATACCACCTCTGCTTGGTGCCAACATGAAAGACTTCCAGGGAATCTCTAGGTCTATAGGCAGTACTTCTTATGAATGAAGGCAAATATATGTATCCCAGGATAAGGTTGCAGGATCCAATCTGGGTCAGTCACCGAGACCAGAGGTTTTGTCTTCTGAGTTTTTGGACTCATGCTGGGGCCCATCTTCAGGGAACTTCTCTCTAGCAGAGAGTGTGCTGTTCTGTGTATGGCATAAAGCTCTGGTGCTGATGACCAACGCAGACTGGATCCTGCAGCACTTCTTATTTCAGAGGGTATCTGCCCATCCTGCTGGATCTATAGAATGACCACATGTCAAGTCCAAGCATGTGGACTCGACATGTGGCATGTCGAGAGGCATGACAGTGAGATCCAATGAAGTTCAATCCTTTATTTGCTAGTTTGTAATAGACAGAATTTTATCAGAATAAAGCCTTTTAATCTGCTAGATGTATCCTGAGAGATTCTAGAGCAGGGGTCCCCAAACTTGGCAACTTTTAAGGCTTGTGGCTGGAGAATTCTGGGAATTGAAGTCCACAAGTCTTAAAGCTGCCAAGTTTGGAGACCTTTGTTCTAGAATGTGGCGGCCTGAACTTCCCTCCCCCTTCTAGCTTCAGACAGTGGAGTCTCTTAATCTAAATCTCTTTCTGTGAAGGCTCCAAGTTGACATAATCCTCCCCCTCGGATGCTGCAGGTGCACATTCCATCACACCACATTCTGGGTCCCCTCTATCAAACAATATTCCACCTTCTTGGCCTCCCAGAAGGTTGTGAAGACTTGGCTGTTCCTTCTGGTCCTGGGCCAGGAAGTGAGTTGAACCAAGAACATATAAAGTTGGTATGAAGTTGTTATGGTGCCTGATTAGAATGTGGCAGTTTTTAATTTGGAGAAGAGGGAACATTTGTATTTTTTAAATACATTATATGAGTTTGATTTATTTTTGCACCCAGGCTGAAGATGCATGACCACATAAACCCTTGAAATAAAGTAAAATATCCTGAAAATTGAGAAAGCATCAGAAAAGCTGCAACGGCAAGCGATTCCACATTATTGCCAAGAAAGCTGTAAGGTTGTGTCAATCAAGTAACCAGCAGCCAAGCCCAACCTGAAACAATTATTTATTTGTTTGTTTATTTTCAGGAAACATTTCATGAAGTTGATTTGTGAGTGAACTTAGAGATAATCTAAACATCTTAGACAACTCATTTTTCCCTGCCCTTCCTTTTCCTAAAGATCTACAGGGAAATCACACTGGCCACTTTTGTAGGAAGTGGAAGATTCTAACAGTTTCAATAAAGACCTGGACCTACGGTATTAATAAAGACCTGGACATAGCAGTATTGTATCAAATTATATTAATAAAGTGGTTTCCCTACTTTATATAGCTATATAAAGTTTAGACAGGGAAATTTAGTGGTCCAGCCACACTAAATTGTTATATAATATGCCAGGAGTCCTACTTTAAAAAACAGATGGAGGCAGGGCAAAATTTAGACTGTAGTTTAATTTACATAAATAAAATGCATGTATGCAAAATTTACAACTATGTCCCATGTTTCATCATTTTGTTAATATCATTATATGAAAGCAGCTTTTAGGAAAAGCCTTTGAGGCCTACACCTAGGACTTTTACAGGCCACAGGTAGTATATCTGTACTTTATATGATGTTCTGTGGCTTAGATGCCAAAGAATGGTGCAAGAAAACAAGAGACTTTGCAATGCAAGTCTTAAGATTATCAAAATGTCCTGGGGGATTTTCTATATAATAAAAAGAAATCTCTAGAGGCTTAAGTAGAAAGAAGTTTCTTAATACTTAAGAACTGCATAAGCAGTCAGTTTTTGTGACAATGGCACTGCTCCTATTAACTTTTTTCAGGATTTTATTTTTCTTTAAAGCTGCTGAAGCTTTAAAACTCATTGACAGGGATTGTGTAAAAAGAACACAATCTAAATTTAAATGAATAAGGCAAGTTTGTATTCTGTAGGCCAGTGATGGTGAACCTCTTGGGCTCAGCATGTCAAAAATTCATAAAATGGCTAACTTGATTTTTTGGGCATATTACACACAGAGAGAGAGAGAGAAAGAGAGGGAAAGAGGGAGGGAGGGAGGGAATGAGAATAAACAAACAAGCACTTATATAATTGTAAATTTATTTTATTTGTCTATGTACCTCAGGGGGAAAAAGACACTTCCAGACAGCTCTGGGTTGTACAAGGCTTGGAAACTTCAGAAAATGCTCTTGTGAAGCCTTGCAGCCTCTGAAAACAGCAGGAAAACACACCTCATTCTTGTGCACTTTTTGGAGGGTCCAAAGGGGGCATGAGAGCAGGGCCTCCAGAGGGTCCAGAAGCCTGGTGTGAAATGACATGGCACGTCATCTGTGATGCACATGTCACATGTTTGTCATCACTGTTTCAGGCACAATGTAATTATGTGTTATAGTCTGCTCAGTTCCGGCTCCAAAATGCTCAAAACACAGCAACAAAATATTCCGAAGTTTTGAATCACAGGATGCATTTGTAAAGAAAGCATTTGTTCTAGTAAACTCCATGCCCAATTTACATTTACTCATTTACATTTATATTGGTTAAATTTACTCAGATTTACTCAGAATCACATGTAAACTTCCAACCAATGATCCATATGGATTTCAAATGAAACAATGGAAAGCATCACTGATGTACCGGAAGGGATAAAATCAAATTTGTGACAGCTCTTATTCATGGTGTCTTCTTCTACTCTTACGTTATCTTGGCAAATGCTCCACGTACAGTCCAATCCATGACGTGATTATCCAAGCTAATCTGCATTCAATAGGGTTTACACCTTAATAAGTATAAACAAGGATTATTGTGCTGTAGCTCTGTGCCTAAATCTAAGCAATTCTAGTTTTTTTTTCTACGAGCTGGAATAGTCTTAAGAGCAACAGGTTTTACAGTTCCATTTATTTTGCTTGCCACTTGAATTTACATTAATGAAAGATGAGATATAAACATCTCTGAAATAAATATATTTTAAATAAAGACACATACAAAGTGGCACAAATGAACAGAAGGCCTCATATGAATTATTCACAGCCTCCTGAAATCTAAACGCATGAGAAAATATTGCTGGAAGATGCTTGTACCTAAAACTGCTGTGTTAAAAAATTTCCATAGCTTTATTGGATGACTTGTTGCATGTCAACACTCTCACCGATTTCATAGGAAAAAAGCTGCCGCTAGCAAATTGCAGAGAATGAGGACAGTGAAGAATGAAATGTTTGGCAGGCAGAACGAGCAATTTATGGGCCACAGTAACTCCTGTGGCTTTATGAACTTATATTTAGTCAAAGGCCATTGCTGTATAGAACAAGAAATTAGTATATTCTCATGTAAACAAACCGAATTCTCCCTGGTAAATGATCATTGAATGGTTGAAATGGTCTCAAGGAAAGTAACCAAGGAAAATAACGGTTAGCTTTCCCTCATACACAACTTAGTTGCCCAATATACCCTGTTTCTCCAACAATACGGCCTCCTCCAATAGGAAGTCCCAGCATGTTTTATAGGCATGAAATGAAATTAAGCCCCTCCCCCCAAATTAAGGCCTATATTAAAACATGTGAAATGGGGGGGAATGCTGGGGGGGCTTGCCGTTAGGAAGTACTTTTGTTGCACACCCGGATAGGGTGCTGCCTGCATTGACCCCCGATACGAAGTGCCCCACCAATGCTGAGGTCAACATCCAAGCCGTCGCCGCCCGCCCGAAGATGCAAGGGGGCAGAATTAAGTCACCCCCGAAAAGACAACCCATCTATTTTTTCGGGTCTCAAAAAAAAATAAGACCCAGCCTTATTATATGAGAAACACAGTAATAGATTCAATGCCTAGAACTTGTGCTTAAGAGGATTTTGGGTAAGAAAACAGGGATAGATCTCAATGTTATGAATACAGAATTCTCACCTCAGTGTAATTTTTATTAAGAACAGAAAATATGGGCTGTAATGAGGGGTGGGCTTCAAATTTTTTAGCAAAGGGGTCTCGCCCTGGTTGCTGGGTGGGCGTGGCCATGGTGGATGTGGCCTAGTCGGCCTCCTGCACCACGGTGTGTGGGGGGCTATTTTTGCTTTCCTCGAGCCTCTGAGAGGGTGAAAATGGCCTCCCTGGGCTCCGAAGGCTCTATGGAATCTGGAAATGCCCCAAACTTCCCAGCTGCCCATTTTTCACCCTCCCCGAGCCTCTACGTGCATCCTGCGCTTACCTGCATCCAAAATGGGTCGTATGAGGACTCCTGGAGGGAGCAGGGTGAGCGGGGCTAGTCAAGAGTGGGATTTGGGAGTTCTCTGAACTGCATAGAATCTTAGCTAGGGGCTTTTCTGAACCCCTGCGAACCCCAGCAGCCCACCCCGGCTGTAGCCCTGCGTCAATGCCCTACAACAGTACAGGACTCAGCTTTGGTTTGTTGAATAAATCATGACTAAGCAAAACAATCCCAGAGAGGTTCACACAACATGAGAAGAGATGGGCAATCAACTGCAAAGGTCTCTGGAAAATCAGGGCTTGATCTTCTCCCCTTTCTCTTATTTAACATCTGTGTCTGCCCGTTTGTGACGGAGGCATCATTTAAGGAGGCACCTATGTGAATATCTATATGATGCCACCGGATGCCACTGGAGAAAATCGTACTGCAGTTTGGGATTTGGTATCATTAATATATTCATAGTAGTCTGTCTGCCTATACAAAATCTCCAACAGGTAAATAGGAAACTGAAAGGGATGATACTGAATTAAGTGCTACAAGTATAATTTTTCTAAATTTTTGGCTTGATTATGGATTACAAATCTTAACATGGAATATAAATGGAGCAAACACTCCTCAAAAGAGGGGGAAAATTCATTATTTGAAAAACATTAAAACAAGATATAATTTGCCTATAAGAGACTCATGAGATGAACACAAGACATTCAAGACTGGTGATGTAGGCATGTAGCTACAGCTTCATCTTTGATCCTTTCTCATACTTTGCTTACTTTACCATCCAGTTTGCTGTATTCCTAAGATTGGGACTAAAACTCATGGTCTCCTGGTTTCTAGCCCCATGCCTTAACCATTACACAAAACTGGCTTGAAAAACTGGAAGTCGTAATGATTAGCAATTATTTTGCTTATGTGCCTCAAGTTGAGGTGAATTCTTAGGACATGCTTTGGACAACTGTTAGAATTGGATTTGTTCATGAAATGCTTCTTATCTTTAGGTTAGATGAACAGCAGAACGAGAAAAAATGAGCATCAGTTAATTTATCCTTAGAGACTCTCATGAACAAAGTATGTTAGGAAAAGTTATGTTAATGTGAATTCCCCAAGAAACCACATTTTGATTACATATATTGAGTAAAGTTGCATACAAAAGTGAGGATGAATTTCAAATATAAATGGATTTTTGGAACACATTTTTGTCCTAATAACCCAAATCTAATAAAAAGTTAAGTGTCTGAAACTAAATTACTGGGCCACAACCTACCTTTATGACAATATTTTGCCTTTCAAGTCATCAAGAACATAAAAACTCATGTTCTTAGGCAAATGTATTTGTCTAATGCCAAGTGTGGCATTATCAATTGCAACGGCAAAGTTCAAAACATTTATTTATAAGGCTTCTGCTCAGTCATGCCAAACACAGCCATATTCTTAATAGTTCATTCTGTTAATTCACCCATTTTATTCATCTTACAGGAGGAAGAAAACAGTTCAAGGGAGCAACCAGTGAATTAGTAAGGTTGGCTTTTAGGCAAAATTTACTGCTACTGCTGCTTCTCTTGATCAGACCCAGTCTCTTCCCATGGTCGGGGTCCTCTGATGTTCTTCCAGTCATCAAAAGGGGCGTTTTTTATTTTCTATGGAAAAAGAAAGGAAGAAGGGAAATCATAACACAGAAATGTTGCTTAATTGCCTATTTCTCCAATATGTATGCTATTACATGGGAAGTGTTCACACAACAAACTAGAAACTTAATTAATTAATTGAGTTAACCTTGTTTTCTGGCTGTAGACAACATACTGAACAATGAACCACAAGGGCTCATACAACATATAATCATATCCCAGGTCTTTGGGAAGGATTCGATAGGTGGATGAAAATGTCAAATCCAGTCTAAATATCTGGCTGACTGTGAGACAAACCATAGGAATAATGTTGCATAATAATTATTTTGTTAAATAATAGGTTGAATAATAGTATGTTTAACATAATGTTGAATAATAATAATAATAATTATTATTATTATAATAATTGAAAGATTATGGTATAAACTGGTATAAACTGGCTGTGGTGGTCCCAGAGGTTATCAGCACATTGGGTGCCATACCAAAAAATCTTGGAAAGCACTTAGAAAATCAGCACATTGATAAAACGCCCATCTGTCAATTATAAAAGGCCATACTGCATGCATCTGCACATATACTACGCCAATACATTATGACACCCTAGGTTCTTGGGAACAACTTGATGCAGATGAAGGCCAATATCTTGCAAAGAACTGGCAGCTGATGTGTATATAATAATAAGGCTTGCAAATAGAGGAAGAATGACTGTGTCAAAACAAAGCAAAGATAGTAACAAAAATAATTGGAATTATATCCAAAAAACCTGGAGCATCACTTGAATACCATCAGTATTGATAAAATCACTATCAGTCATTAGCAAAAGGCAGCTTTAGTTGAAATAGCTCACATCAGTGTGACAATTCCTTTAATATTATTAAACAGTAACCCATCCCTATCCCAGGTCCTTGGGAAGGACTTGATAAGTGGACAAAAATGCCAAATACAGTCTAAACCTCTAAAACAATGAACAGCTAGTTTGTGGGGATGGGTGAGTATTGCAGTATGCAGACTCAGCTATGACTGTACCAATGTAGAGATAAATAGTATGGCAAAATTTTTAAAATGAATTCACATGAAACCATACTTCAGCATAATCACTTTTTTCTCTGTAGCTAAAGTAAAAAATTGGGACTCTTGGGTTAGATGGGTATGATAGGAATCATTAATTTCCATCTGGCTCTTTTCAGCCCCCTTTGCTGTGTTCAGAAACTGTTCTTACCTTATTACAATTCCTAGGGAAAGTGAAACTACATAGAAAGCAAAAAAGCAATATTCCTCCCCTTGTTCTAAGAAGCACCTTGCATTCTAAAGTAGTTCTAAACACCTTTATCTAAAATAGTGTGTTTTGTGGGGTGGAAAAGGAAGGGAAGGGAGAACATTCTCTTCTGAACATGTTCCACCAGCCTAAAACGAATTATTTCTTCAGCTCTCAGGTCAACAAAATGAAAACTAAACTCAGAGTAGCATCTCATTTTATTAGAATCGGGGTGGGTAGTATGTACCTCTTTAGTTAACAAAATATTGCAACTGATTCATTCAGGATCATGAAAGAAGGTTGAAACAGTCTGTGAGATTTGAAATAGGCAATAAAACATATTTTTAAAAACTCAGGGAAAGTGAAATGGGAATGTTTGATTGCATATTATCAGCTAGAAATTCACTTGTGTCTGGATACTGAAAATTAATAGATTAGATACAACACACCCAGCTTTCAAATTATATCATTATGTTCCAAATTAGAACATTATGTTATTGTTGCGTCATTATTATCCTTCAAATATCTGAAGTGCAATCTGATTTAGACAGGGCACCTTTCTAGGCCTGCGTGTTTCAATAGAAATATTACTTCCACACTGCTTTCCTACCTCCATATCTATTGGGAAAGTTAGAGAATTGTTTGTGTGTGTGTGCGTGCTTATGTACACACAGAGAGAGAGAGAGAGAGAGAGAGAGAGAGCAGACATTTAATTTATATGAATTTCCCACATAGTGTTAGATAGATAAAAAAACAATTTTATTGTGTTTTTCAAAGATTTAAAATGGATTACAGCCTTAAAATAAAGAGTGTCAATAAAATTCAATGCCATAACACTTAACCAACAACAGGTCCAGTCAACATTGACTAAAGTCTTAAAGTAGAGAGTCATTAGCATATCTAAAATTAGGAGAATTTAGATGGGAACAGATTCTCACTCTATCCTTTCCTCTTTGGTCATTTGATTGACTATCTTGAGCTTATGTTTGATGTTATGATTATTTTGGGGTTTAGACACTGATAGATTTTGGTTTTCTTTCTATTGATGTGATATTCTGTCCAGCACAACATTTGGACTGATAAATATTGTAAAACAGATAAATTTATGTAAAGCCCTTGCTTCTTTCTTTCCATTCCAATTTATGATATTTAAGAGAAGTGACCCTGAATTCCCATTCCCACTCCTCTACCCAGCAGACTAGACAATGAAATAAGTGTATCAGCTAGGATCAACTTTTCATACTGAAAAAGCTATGAAATTTTGTTGTGTAGAAAGAGGTGCCTGAGATTTTCTTTTAGCTTCTATAGAGAGGATCAGAATAAAAATTTATGATAGTGAATATTCCATCTTTGTCTGTCACCACCACCCTCTGTCTAAAAGCTAGGAGAGTATACTTCATTAGTGCAAACAAAAGTGCATATACCATTTAATCCATTGTAATCTATTTTACTATTGTTTTCCTCGCTTCCTATCTTATCAATGGGGATATTTGTTTTTCATTATTTTCATTAAAAATGAATTAAGGACCATGATTCTTTTGCTGATTGTGTGATCAGTAGTATTGACTAACCAATCAATTAATCTTAATTAATTAATTCACCTGAAGTATGTAAAAAAGTACTATTTTTGAGTTTTAGTTCTATAATTAGCAATAGCACTTAGATTTATATCCCACTTTATAGCCCTCTCTAAGCAGTTTACAGAGTCAGCATATTGCCCCCAACAATTTTGGTCCCCATTTTACTGACCTTAGAAGGCTGAGTCAACTTTGACCGGGTGAGAATTAAACTGCTGGCAGTGGGCAGAGTTAGCCTGTAATACTGCATTCCTATCACTGTGCCACCATGGCTCTTTACCCAGAGCATTTTGCTATTCCTACTGGTTGGATTATGCTTATATATAAAATATAATTTGGGAAAGGCCTTATGTCCATTTAAATAATATGTGAATCCATTTGATTTGGGGTTCCAAAATCGGGTATACATTTTAGTGCTGAGCACCAAATGAGGCTAGAATTGTACAGTGGGTCCAAGGAGCTGATAGATTAACAGTCTATATCACTAAAGAATAATACATATTTGCAATTAGCCACATGGACCCTATCTTAAAGCTGGCAAAAGCAACCCAGCAATACATGCACATTCTAATTGGATCTGCAGATTTCCTTAACAGTAAAACTACATTTGCAGCACTGTCTGAACATGAAAAATGGGGGTTGCATCCAACAAAGCTTTGAATTTTCAAAGCAATTTGTTTTTGCTGGCTCTCTATGAATCAAAGTTAAAGTTCATTTAATTTTAGACACGGTTGGAATACATATTATAACCAAACAGCCATATAGTAAAGCAAATATACCAATACCATACCTCATATTCTTCTTCCAGTGTCACCTTACTCTTTTTGAGCTTTTTTTCCAATTCTGGATCCATCTGATTAATAAAATTTAGCAATCAAATACTTTTAATTAGAAAGAAAACTTAACCTATGAAGGGAAGGACTGTAATTTCCCCGCACCTTCAAATACAGGCAATTCCCTGTATAAGGAAAAGGAATTCTTACACAGTTCATTCTCAGATAATCATAATTCCAATAGGCGCTATCATAGTAGGTTTGGGCAATAATTTATGCTTGGCATGAAAACTTTAATTATTTCATTTAAGAGGAAGAAAGATAATTTATATCATTATAAGCATTTTATTGATGATCCTTCATATTAATTTCTATTCACAAAATGGAAAGCTGAAATAAATCTCAAAGGAAGTTCATAGGTAAAAATGTTCCCTGAACCCCTCTTGGTGTAGACCAATAGCAATCACAAAATAAATAGCTCCAGACTGCAGAAGCCTCATTAAAATTCAATGTCTCAAGACTGATTATATTTACAAACTCATTATCCAAGATTTTTTTTTTAATTTGCATGCTGGAATGCTAGTAAGTTGAAGAGAAATTCAACTGCCAGAAGTTAACTGAAGTATATATTAAGACATTGGGCTCTCAGAAAAATACTGAATTGATTGATCAAATTTTGCATGCCTGTTGTAATGCTTTTAAAGTGATAAGAAGTTCTAGAAATATGGTGAAACGGACTAGCAAGACATAGTCAGTAAAGTATTTGAGATTGAATGCAAAGTGATAATCAGTACAAAGAAAGTACGAGGGGTCTCTTTTGTCATGCACATAGAATGTTTAAATGTAGTTATAGAAAACATGTTCTCCCTCTCCTTCCAGTTAGCAATTCTGAGAGTAGCCTATGGTGCAATTTATTTTTTTGAAATTAATTTATCTATTTCTTACATTTTATTCATTCTGGTGTAACCAAGGTGGGCCCCATAAAATATTTAAGTCTGCTCCAATGTATTATTTCAGCTACATTATCAAAAAGGTCACTTGTTCAAACAATAACTAGAATAGAAAGACACGCTCATGTCACCTGTTATCATAATACACCCTCAAGCAGATATTTCACATTGAGTTAGCCAGTGCTATGTTCAGATGGATTTTAGCTGTGCTATTATGACAGGCTGCTAGGAGAAGAGAAGAGAAGAGAAGAGAAGAGAAGAGAAGAGAAGAGAAGAGAAG